TCAAACGTTTCTGTAAGTCTTCACAAGGTTTTCACACACTGTTGCTGGTATTTTGGCCCATTCCTCCATGCAGATCTCTTCTCGAGGATTGATGTTTTGGGGCTGTCGCTGGGCAACACAGACTTTCAACTCCCTCCAAAGATTTTCTATGGGGTTGAGATCTGGAGACTGGCTAGGCCACTCCAGGACCTTGAAATGCTTCTTAAGAAGCCACTCCTTCGTTGCCCGGGCGGTGTGTTTGGGATCATTGTCATGCTGAAAGACCCAGCCACGTTTCATCTTCAATGCCCTTGCTGATGGAAGGAGGTTGTCACTCAGAATCTCACGATACATGGCCCCATTCATTCTTTCCTTTACACGGATCAGTCGTCCTGGTCCCTTTGCAGAAAAACAGCCCCAAAGCATGATGTTTCCACCCCCATGTTTCACAGTAGGTATGGTGTTCTTTGGATGAAACTCAGCATTCTTTCTCCTCCAAACAAGTCTAGTTGAGTTTTTACCAAAAAGTTCTATTTTGGTTTCATCTGACCATATGACATTCTCCCAATCCTCTTCTGGATCATCTAAATGCTCTCTAGTAAACTTCAGACGGGCCTGGACATGTACTGGCTTAAGCAGGGGGACACGTCTGGCACTGCAGGATTTGAGTCCCTGGCGGCGTAGTGTGTTACTGATGGTAGCCTTTGTTACTTTGGTCCCAGCTCTCTGCAGGTCATTGACTAGGTCCCCCCGTGTGGTTCTGGGATTTTTGCTCACCGTTCTTGTGATCATTTTGACCCCAGGGGGTGAGATCTTGCGTGGAGCCCCAGATCGAGGGAGATTATCAGTGGTCTTGTATATCTTCCATTTTCTAATAATTGCTCCCACAGTTGATTTCTTCACACCAAGCTGCTTACCTATTGCAGATTCAGTCTTCCCAGCCTGGTGCAGGTCTACAATTGTGTTTCTGGTGTCCTTTGACAGCTCTTTGGTCTTGGCCATAGTGGAGTTTGGAGTGTGACTGTTTGAGGTTGTGGACAGGTGTCTTTTATACTGATAACGAGTTCAAACAGGTGCCATTAATACAGTTAACGAGTGGAGGACAGAGGAGGCTCTTAAAGAAGAGGTTACAGGTCTGTGAGAGCCAGAAATCTTGTTTGTTTGCAGGTGACCAAATACTTATTTTCCACCATAATTTGCAAATAAATTCTTTAAAAATCAGACAATGTGATTTTCTGGATTTTTTTTTTCTCATTTTGTCTCTCATAGTTGAGGTATACCTAGGATGACAATTACAGGACTCTCTCATCTTTTTAAGTGGGAGAACTTGCACAATTGGTGGCTGACTAAATACTTTTTTGCCCCACTGTATATGACTTCCGGTAGGCAATATTACAAGGAATCACTCTGTACATTTTCATTGTTATGCGGATGATACTCAACTATATTTATCAATCAAGCCTGATGAAACTAATTACTGTAACTCATGATACGAATCCCCACCCACCTGTTCTGTGCACTTTGTTATGCACACACTCCGGCTCACTGCAGGAACGATATGATTAATGTTAGTGGTTGATTATCATAAAAACATTTTCCTTTTTTTTCCAATACTATTGTAAGTAAAATATGGTGCGCTGCATTTCAAGTTATTATCGGGCTTTAATTTGAAACAGTAGAGTCCTGTTTACGAACTACAATGAGGTCAGTGTAAGAAGGTTAATAAGGTGGTTTACGGGAAATTCTGCATTTTTAACTGGCCTGAAAATAAACTGCCTACATTTCTAATAAAATCTAATCCCATCTGAGCACTGTAAGTGGACCACTTGATTAATATACGTGAATTATTTAAACAGCATTGTTATAGGAATGATGTTGTCCCAAGCTTTTTGATCCATAAGGTTGATCTATTTCATATTTTTAGGAAAATAAAACTGTCGAAAGTAGACTCTGTGGCACACACAAATCTTTAATACTTACACGTTTCCTTCAGGAAAATAATTCACAAATGACGACTTATTATATATCAATCAACGACAATTAGAAAGCTAACGTTATGCTTAAAAGGAACTACGTCGCAGTTTTGCATGACTTTAACGTCACCACTGCAGAGTAGATTAGTTCAATGTCCCTGAAAAGCTCTGTAGTCCCAAGTCAAAGCTTCAAAATTCACGATTGGGGTTTTTAGTGGTGTAATTTTGTAGAACAAAACATTAAAATGCTATACATGTATAAAGAGATTATTTCCAGCATCTCACTAAAACCTCATTCAGGAAAACCTTTTGCTTTGAGATGTTGGAACCAGAAGAGCAGAAATTATGAACTTATTTTCAGGTTTTAGGACTCTAAACGCTCTCTAAGGTAAGGTCCACTGACATTGTAACATAACCAACCACCAAAACCCTGACAGGACAACAACCACCAGTTTTATTAAGGATTCAGACGTTATCTCTGCTTTATTTTGTATTTTATTGCCTATAATTATCCATTGTCTACATTGACCACATTCTTTATTTCTTCTCAGGGATTGGCTATGCTACCCAGGTTGTGATTGCATATGCGGCCGTGTCATACATTGTCATCCAGGCGTGGGCCTTCTTCTACCTCTTCTCCTCCTTCAGCGTTGAGGTCCCGTGGGCAAGCTGCAGGAACTTCTGGAACACAGGTAGACCTGCAGAGATAAATTGTTACGACTGGAGCACACAAAAACTGATAGGACCCAAATGCACGACTCCAGACAAAAGATGATTTAAAAAAAAAAAAAGGTTTTTACTTGCGGTGATATGCAAGGCAATACATTCACAAGTTTCAAAAACGATCTGGCACTGGGCACAGGGAGCACACAGAATCTATACACCAACAAGGGACTCTACAGGTGCAAACAATAAGGGTGTGGCAGGTAATCAGCATAGTGACAAGGTAGGTGTCATAGTGACAAGGTAGGTGTCAAACTACCTGAAAAGAGAAAGGAAATGACAAAGTAAAACAAGAAATGGCAGACAACAAAAAGGGTTAGCAGACGCGGACTTGACAATATAAACTAAACAGAGAAATAATATTAACAAATCTGCCGAGACACAACAGAAATGAGCTGCGTGCATGACATGTGTGTCTTTGTGTACCTATTTCTTTACCTTGTATCTTCATTTAACAGCATTGATTTAAAAAAGCCCACAAGCTTGACGTAAAATGCATACAGAGATGTTGGTAATTTCTTGAAAACTGCTTGCATTATTGATCAGCTGAGGGTCAATCACTGCTCAAATTTCTAATATATGTTTACTTTGTATTTTGTGTACTTTGCTTTCAAATATTTATCTACACTTTTACATTTTTTCCTGTTTTTATCTCAGAGACCTGTGCCGAATTTGGTAAAACAAACACGTCATCCAATTGGACAGCAAACGCAACATCGCCTGCAACAGAATTCTGGGAGTAAGTTTAATTTACAACTGTCTTTAACTAACTAATATCCCTTTTTATTGGAGTCACAAAAACCAGAGGTGCATTGGCACCCTGCTGTTTCTGTGTATTTCTTTGTTGTTCCTCTTTTTGTAAAGAGAGTCTATAGCAGGTCACATGTTACAAACATTGGTCACTTGTTGTTATCCTCATATTTTTAGAAACGTCCATCCAACGTAGGCAAGCTGCAACATGTAAATGACCCGAATTATTGTATTCTCAATTTTTTTTTAGAATGAAGCATGCGTAGGTACTATCTAAATATTGTAAGAGTATCAAACAGGCCCAATCTACTGAGAAAAAGCAAACATCCCCAAAATGGTTATGTAACAACTTCACAAAATCTAGAAAGTGCCACTGCTGTGCTCATTGCCTGACTGTAATGAGCTTCTCAGTAGGGGGCTTAAAGAGACAGGCACTAAAACTAAGCCTTTCAGACAGTGGGTGAATACAGGTATGTTCAGACACATAGCATGAGAAAAAAAAAAAAATGTAAACATGCACCAAAAATACAAGTGCGAACCTTAAAATGAGCATACTGTGTACATTTTATAAATTAAGTGTCGCGGTTAGTCAAAATATCAACAAATATTTTACTGTAAATCAAACACAGGAGTGTGCATAAGAAGTGTATGCCCTCAGAATGAGATTTAAAAACGGTGGTGCCTAACTTTTCATATATCTATTTGGATTGTATCCTGTACGTCAATTGATGACTTGTTACAAGAAAAACTACATTCCCATCAGTCACTTCTGTACTTTCTGTTCATTTCTACTTGAAACATTTTGAGCGTCAAAATGTGGTTTGCGTATAAGTGTCTTGGCATTAAAGTATGTTTACATTGTGTAAGCTGAAAGTACAGCATCACAGCGAGGCTGGCATGGCTTTAGTCTTGCTTCATGTTTCAAGAACAAACTTTTCTTTCACTGTGTCAGCTTCTTTTAAGTTAAGACAGGCGCGACATTGGGTCTTTTGGCTGTCATGTTGAATTTAAATTTCAAGAAACAATATTTTACTTATTTTTATACAAAGTTTCAAGTTTCCAAGCTATAATATATTCTCTTTAGTGTGTCATTTGCAACCTATAACCAGACTTTTATTTCCACAAAGAATTTGGCTGTTACATACAAATGAATTTGGCAGCAGACACAGAAACAGGGTGTGAAGAATTGTTTTTGCAAAGTCATTGACAACCTTTCTAAATAGATAAGATGTAGGACATTCAATGCACTATGAATGTTGTTCAGGCGATAAAAAAGGCGCCATTTTGACTAACTATAAAACAATTTCTCCAGAGTTGATACATTTTTTAATTAATGTCAAAGCATACATCAAAGGGAGAACAACGTTTTGCTATACGTTTTTCACGTTTTCCCAGAAATAAATCCATGATTAATGAGGTCGAGTGATGCTGTTTGAAACTCTGTTTGACACTCTACACTTGCTGGCCAGCTTCAGAGCCAATAAAACCCTTTTCCGTCTTTCTTTCATGTCACATGTTGAGCTGAAAATTAAAGAATGTAAAAATGTATTCACACCCCAGCCAGATTTAAAAATGTGACACAAAATCAAACAAATCATTTATTCATTTGTACAGGGTTAATATATTATGTCTGCAAGGCATCACTTAGGTGAAGTTGCATCACTGTTGTTTTAAGTGTTTCTAGAAACATCTCTACTTATTTCCATTTCCCCATGACTAAATACATTTGCTTGTTTTCATATGAATGTTTTTGCAATATAGTTACAACACTTTTTGATCAGTCAAATGTATAGACTTCATTATCTTACGTAACATTATTATTTGCCTTGAAAAAGGTTCTCCACAACTGTTTTTCCTGGGCCCTGTTTCATTAACATTATGCGTTTCTTTTCAGGAGACGAGTGCTGGGAATATCTAGTGGGATTGAGGAGATTGGCAGCCTGAGATGGGATCTGGCCTTGTGTCTCTTACTGGCGTGGACCCTGTGCTACTTCTGTGTTTGGAAAGGAGTGAGATCTACTGGGAAGGTGAAGAAAACCCTTTCTTTAGAAGATGATGTTGGATTTTGTGTGTGTTTATTAGATTTGAGTGAGAATTCTGTTGAAACCTTTGGGATCACATTCCCTCTGTTGCAGCTTTTACACATTTATGGGTTATATGTTTAAAATAATGATTCAAGAAAAATAATCCATACATATATAACGTATCAAAACACCCTCATTTGGTGATGATAATGGTGGATAAACACAGTGGAAATTCAAAATCGAAGAGTATGGGACCTGCTCAGCAATTTAAAGATATAACAGGGGTAATAGTATTCTTAAGCAGAACCTGAATTCATATATATTTATTTTTCCCTAATTTCTTAGCAGTTTATTTGTTTTTAAAAGGGAATTTGATTGACTAAAATGTCAAACATGAGTTAAAAGAACAACAGAAGAAGAAAGTTGTGTTAGGGGCCTTGAAACAATTACAACATATTATCATAGCTGCCACAGCAGGTCACCAGAGCAAGGCAAAACTTTGACAGAAATACCGAAGCAGGGTTCAGATCGGACTGCGGTCTCATTTCACTTTGGGGACAGAGAATCCC